ATCTGCTTATTATCTAACCCTCTGGTAATTTACTGAATGAATAAAAAGAAGTGTTTATTTATAACTTTATTAGTGAAAACTAAAATTAGATCATACTTTGCTAATTGTGCCACTGTTATCTATCAGTAAGTTTAACAATTTACAGATGAAAACAAAAAACTTTTGTATTACCTACCTTCTCTTTATTTTATTGTTGTTATTTCATACCAATCAATTATAATTTCAGATGTACCTGAAGGCAGGAAGAAACCAGTGAGCAAAACCTCTTCTAACCAGATATCCTCAGATACAGACAACCAGGATGACAGTCAGGACAGCAGTGACAGTATCAAACCCAATGCCATCTACGAGATTGTTCAAGCCGTGCGGAAGGAGACTCAGCTCAGCCATGAGATGTCTAAAGTTGCTGTCGAAACTGTCCTTGTTTCTCTAAGGGTAAGTTAAATTATTTGATGTGATATGATAATAGTTTGCATCTACTACTACTTGGTGCATTCAATAATGTTATGCTTTGAGTAACTGATCCTTAAATCAATAAATTTCTTTAACCAACTTCATATGAATATCCTTATGGCCTGAAAATAATCTAAATCTACAAAAAGAAAACCAATAGGTACAGCTAGTAAAAATTCTATATTTAAAACTGTAAACTATCTGCTTTGCTGGTTAGGTAATATTACATTCTGGTAACACAAGAACTTTATGTGACAGTTTGTGTAATTCAGAAAGGAGTAATATGCAAAAACTTCTATTTCAGGAGTTCTTGCCTGGTGGTGCAGCTAGATCCATAATAGATGCTTTGCTCCGGGAAGCCAACAGCAACATAACTTGCCCAAAGAATGCCATTGATGCAGCGCCGGATGCCATGAGGATGATGACTGCTCTCAACTCCTTGTCCAAGGCAGCCAACGACGCCCAGCAGCGAGGGTGGGCTCTGCATGATGACGCTCATGATATACAGACTCAACTGCTTGAACTTATTTCTGTCATGGTAAGGGTTTGCTTTGGGGTTTTAATATCAAATTATTATAAGATTTAAGATTTTAAAGATACCACACATAATTGCGAATTTGCATAGCATCGCACTGTAATATCTACGAAATATTGTCTTCATTTTCGAATGCGAATCAGATCGGGCGCGACGCAATCGTTACACATGGCTGTGGCAGACTCCTGCTACTTGTAGTACGCAGTTGTAAAACTCTGACATCAGGGTTCATTCGGTCGTTGGACGAGTTGGTGTCCCAAAAAGAGAAAGAGGGAGTGAATTTGGTTAAAAGTTAGTTGTTTTACTTTTTATTTCCAGTCCAATGCTGACGTGAACATCTCCCAGCACGTGCTGAGCAGTCACCGGTACGCGTATGTCACCACTCTAGTCCAATACTACCAAATGGAAACCAGGTGGCCTTTGCGACAGCTTCTATTGCAGGTAATGGTTATTGCTAATTTTCTTCTTCTTCTGCTCAATTAAATTCGTCCGAGATTTCCTTTTATTATTTTTGTAAGATAGGCCCCCGCATTTATAAGGTGATGTCAATAGAAATCTGAGAACCAGTACCGCCCTGTCTGCCGTATAGATTATACGCCCCCCTCCAGCTACAAGGGCCTCAGGCCACTATGTTGTCTTAGCCGATCTTGGGTTATCTGCGCCGAGATTGCTGCGCCCTAACCGCACCGTTACTTGCCCCGAATTGCTTCACCTACTATTCGCCGGCGTAGCCATCCTTGGGTTACTTGCGCCGAGATTGCTGCACCCACTTTATGCCTTGGTTTACGTGTAATCCATAACAGTATCCTATACCTTTCTCCAGGCTTTCGGCGTAATGTGCGGTCTAGAGCGAACCGCACTAGCAACCCTGGCGCTGTCCGCCCTCCCCGCGGAGATCGCGAGAGACATGAGGGACAACCCTAGAGCAGTCAGCCGCTTGTCACACTCCGCGCTGCTGCTGTCCATGGTGCTGTCAATGGGCGACAAGCTGCCCGTCACACACTTCGGTGAGAACTTCTTTGAAGCTTAGAGCGAACCGCACTAGCAACCCTGGCATTATCCGCGCTGCCGGCGGAGATTGCGAGAGACATGAGGGACAATCCTAGAGCTGTCAGCCGCTTGTCACACTCCGCGCTGCTGCTGTCCATGGTGCTGTCAATGGGCGACAAGCAGCCCGTCACACACTTTGGTGAGAACTTGTTTGCGGCTTAGAGCGCACCGCACTAGCAACCCTGGTATTATCCGCGCTGCCGGCAGAGATCGCGAGAGACATGAGGGACAACCCTAGAGCAGTCAGCCGCCTGTCACACTCCGCGCTGCTGCTGTCCATGGTGCTGTCAATGGGAGACAAGCTGCCCGTCACACACTTCGGTAAGAGCTTCTTTGCGGCTTAGAGCGAACCGCACTAGCAACCCTGGCATTATCCGCGCTGCCGGGAGAGACATGAGGGACAACCCTAGAGCAGTCAGCCGCTTGTCACACTCCGCGCTGCTGCTGTCCATGGTGCTGTCTATGGGCGACAAGCTGCCCGTCACACACTTCGGTGAGCACTTCTTTGCGGCTTAGAGCGAACCGCACTAGCAACCCTGGCATTATCCGCGCTGCCGGGAGAGACATGAGGGACAACCCTAGAGCTGTCAGCCGCTTGTCACACTCCGCGCTGCTGCTGTCCATGGTGCTGTCAATGGGCGACAAGCAGCCCGTCACACACTTTGGTGAGAACTTGTTTGCGGCTTAGAGCGAACCGCACTAGCAACCCTGGCGCTGTCAGCCGCTTGTCACACTCCGCGCTGCTGCTGTCCATGGTGCTGTCTATGGGCGACAAGCTGCCCGTCACACACTTCGGTGAGAACTTCTTTGCCGCTTAGAGCGCACCGCACTAGCAACCCTGGCGCTGTCCGCGCTCCCCGCGGAGATCACGAGAGACATGAGGGACAACCCTAGAGCTGTCAGCCGCCTGTCACACTCCGCGCTGCTGCTGTCGATGGTGCTGTCAATGGGAGACAAGCTGCCCGTCACACACTTCGGTAAGAACTTGTTTGCGGCCTGGATCGAACCGCACTGGCAACCCTGGCACTGTCTGCCCTCCCTGCGGGACATGAGGGACAACCCTAGAGCAGTCAGCCGCTTGTCACACTCCGCGCTGCTGCTGTCCATGATGCTGTCAATGGGCGACAAGCTGCCCGTCACACACTTTGGTGAGAACTTGTTTGCGGCCTAGAGCAAACCGCACTAGCAACCCTGGCATTATCCGCCCTCCCCGCGGAGATCGCGAGAGACATGAGGGACAACCCTAGAGCTGTCAGCCGCTTGTCACACTCCGCGCTGCTGCTGTCCATGGTGCTGTCTATGGGCGACAAGCTGCCCGTCACACACTTCGGTGAGAACTTGTTTACCTGGATCGCACCGCACTAGCAACCCTGGCGCTGTCTGCGCTCCCTGCGGAGATCGCGAGAGACATGAGGGACAACCCTCGCGCAGTCAGTCGCTTGTCACACTCCGCGCTGCTGCTGTCCATGGTGCTGTCTATGGGCGACAAGCTGCCCGTCACACACTTTGGTGAGAACTTCTTTGCGGCTTAGAGCGAACCGCACTAGACACCCTGGCGCTGTCAAAGAGACATGAGGGACAACCCTAGAGCAGTCAGCCGCTTGTCACACTCCGCGCTGCTGCTGTCCATGGTGCTGTCAATGGGCGACAAGCTGCCCGTCACACACTTTGGTGAGAACTTCTTTGCGGCTTAGAGCGAACCGCACTAGCAACCCTGGCGCTGTCGGCGCTCCCTGCGGAGATCGCGAGAGACATGAGGGACAACCCTAGAGCTGTCAGCCGCTTGTCACACTCCGCGCTGCTGCTGTCCATGGTGCTGTCAATGGGCGACAAGCTGCCCGTCACACACTTCGGTGAAAACTTTATTTGTATTTTAAAGTTGATGTCAGAAAAAAATCGCGATACTTCTTAATTTCTTGTTCTACAACTTTCCTCATCTTGCAGTGTACTCACTAACTTGCCTGTCAAGCTTTAGTAAGATGTCGACTCCATTTCTAGCAGTGATCTCTTGTGGTTGTAGTCAATATGAAGTGTTCCATGTTAAATGATATGCCTTACAAATGAAGCCAGCGAAAATGCGACAAAACATTAAATTTCTTTAGTATTGCTGTATAACTTTGTAATTGTCTCTGAAGTATTCGTAATCGATATTACTTTCAGAACAACTCGGCGTGGAGTTCGCCGAATTTCTATTAGACCTGATCGAGAACCCGCCGGAAACGGACGTGGACGAGCAGATCCCGGACTTGTTCCTGACCCTGCTGTTGGCCTACAATCTGCAGTTCGACAACCCGTTCGACAACTTGTTGTTGAACGCGCTGGAAAACAGGGACAATGCGAAAACGTTCTGCGAGAAAGTGTTGCTGCTTTTGAACCGTGAAGGTAAGATTACCCTGCTGTTGGCCTACAATCTGCAGTTCGACAACTATTGTTGCTGAACGCGCTGGAAAACAGGGACAATGCGAAAACGTTCTGCGAGAAAGTATTGCTGCTCTTGAACCGTGAAGGTAAGATTCCCCTGCTGTTGGCCTACAATCTGCAATTCGACAACCCGTTCGACAGCTTGTTGTTGAACGCGCTGGAAAACAGGGACAACGCGAAAACGTTCTGCGAGAAAGTGTTGCTGCTTTTGAACCGTGAAGGTAAGATTCCTTAAAATCGAGGTTTAGGAAATATTACCTATTTTTAACCGACGGAAAAAAACGGAGGAGGTTCTCAATTCATCCCGAACTTTTATTATTATTTTTTAATCAACGACATACGCCTTATGATGTACGTACGTGTCTAACAAAAAACACAGGTTCAAAACTCGAACCATATTAGAACTGCGAATCCGCCCGCCGCACCCTAGTACCATCATATTATTTTGTGCCGTGGCATTTTTTAATCATGGATAACAATAAAGTAACTAGGTAATATTTTTTATTTATAAATTGAAAATGAGAAAATTGAAAAATTCATTAGCGACCGCCGGGACTTGAACCCGGGACCGTGGGGTACCGTCCCACCGTTCTGTCAACTGAGCTACGGGCGCCTAATGGTCCCTGATGAATCTTTCAACCACCTCTCTCGTCTCGATTGTACTTTAATTTATGAGAATAATATAGCACTTTGATTGCATTAAAAATCCCAATTAATTTTCATTTTTTCCTTTGCAGAGGACCCAGTGCACATATTCGACCACGAGCCTGCGCCGGCGCATTCCGTGCTCAAGCTAGTCATTGACCTGTTCAGCCGCAAGAAAACTGCTGATCATTTCTACACCAACGACGTGAATGTCACCATCGACATCATCGTTCGACAACTAGCGGACTTGTCGCCCGGGGATACGGTCAGTTGATACACTATTATACTTACCAATACACGTAATTTTATTTAGAACTCATAGTAGTAGCTGAATCTGGCCATAGAACTGTTCAGCCGCAAGAAAACTGCTGATTATTTCTACACTAATGACGTGAATGTCACCATTGACATCTCGATGGGGGATACGGTCAGTTGATACACTATCTATCCTGTTGTGACGTCATAAGTCATAATTATGGCTAGCTAGATATTTTTATGTGGTATGGTATTATAGCTAGATAGACCTGTTCAGTTGCAAGAAAACTGCTGATCATTTCTACACCAACGACGTGAATGTCACCATCGACATCTTCGTGCGACAGCTAGCGGATTTGTCACCTGGGGATACGGTCAGTTGATACACTATAGTATTATGTAGACGTCATATTATTTAGAAATCATAGTAGTAGCTCAAGCTAGTCATTGACCTGTTCAGCCGCAAGAAAACTGCTGATCATTTCTACACCAACGACGTGAATGTCACCATCGACATCTTCGTGCGACAGCTAGCGGACTTGTCGCCGGGGGATACGGTCAGTTGATACACTATTTATTGAGACTTCATATTATGACTAGAGATTCTTAGCCGCAAGAAAACAGCTGATCATTTCTACACCAACGACGTGAATGTCACCATCGACATCATCGTGCGACTGCTAGCGGATTTGTCGCCTGGTGACACGGTCAGTTGATATGTTACAGTCAAAACCCTTAACCAGTCAATAACGTTAATGACTGGCAAAACCAGTCAATAACGTTATTGCCTAAGGTACTCAGTCAAAACCCTTATTGACTGATTTTGTCTAATAAAATCAGTCAATAACGATATTGACTGACGTGCCTAGTCGAAACCCTTAATAGGTATGTCCCGGTTGGTCTTAGATCACCATCAGGACCGTTAGATGGTCGCTGCCAGAGTGGAAGTCTACTGTCTCGCTCGCCGGTTGTTATTCCATAAGGAGTAAGGACATGCCCAAGTCGCTGACGGCTCTTCACTTATGTTGACGGCAGCAAATACGTGGCCTCCCCTCCCAGAAGTCATAGACCACCCGGTGCTTACTCGAGGACTCGGGCTCAGAGCCACCGGCGAGCGAAACAGTAGACTTTCACTCTGACTGCCTCCATCCTCTATAAGATGCATTTCACTGAGCGTGCACAATCGCCCCACGACCTGATTATCCCCATTTCACCTCCGGGGATCGCGTCGCTGACTAGGATTACACCTTTTATCAGCTGGTGAGATAGCAGACAAATGCGAGCCTATCTTATTTAAAAAAATATATATCGATCCTGATGGTTACTATGCAGTAACTACTTCTACCCTCCGCATCGCACCGTAGCTCACCGCACCCTACTGCTACCCGCCGCATCGCATCTAAACTAACCGCACCGCACTGCTACCCACCGCATCGCTCATAATCTTACCGCAAATCTGTGCTACTCGCCGCATCGCACATCGAAACTCTCCGCAACGCACTGCTTTTCACCGCATAGCACATAACCTCACCGCAATTCAGTGCTACGCGCCGCATCACACACCGAAACTCCCCGCAGCGCACTGCTTTCCGCCGCATAGCACATAAACACACCGCAACGCAGTCCTACCAGCCGCATCGCTCGTAATCTCACAGCAAATCAGTGCTACTCGCCGCATCGCATACCGAAACTCTCTGCACCGCACTGTTTTTAGCCGCAAAGCACATAAACTCACCGCAATTCAGTGCTACCCGCCGCATCACACAACAAAACTTCCCGCACCGCACTGCTTTCCGCCGCATAGCACATAAACTCACCGCAATTCAGTGCTACCCGCCGCATCACACACCAAAACTTCCCGCACCGCACTGCTTTCCGCCGCATAGCACATAAACTCACCGCAATTCAGTGCTACCCGCCGCATCACACACCAAAACTTTCCGCACCGCACTGCCTTCCGCCGCATTGCACATAAACTCACCGCAATTCAGTGCTATCCGCCGCATCGCACACCGAAACTCTCCGCACCAAACTGCTTTCCGCCGCATAGCACATAAACACACCGCAACCCAGTGATACCCGCCGCATCGCGCACCGAAACTCTCCGCACCGCACTGATTTCCGCCGCACTGCACATAAAATCACCGCAACGCAGTGCTACCCGCCGCATCGCACATAAACTCACCGCAACGCAATGGTTACTGGATAGTAACCATCAGGACCGTTAGATTTTTTTTCAAAACCCTTAATAGGTACGTCCGACCCGGTGGTAGCAACCTAGACTGCCTGGCTGGTCTGAGATCACCATCAGGACCGTTAGATGGTCGCAGCTAGAAGAAAGCCTACAGCCTCGCTCGCCGATTGAACTAGGAGGGAGCCTGACAACCACCGTCGTGAAGTCTATGACATCTAGGAGGTGAAGCCACGTATACGCTAATGTCAGCATTAGATAGTGAAGGGCCGTCTGCGACTAGGGCATGTCCTCAGGAATAATAACCGGCGATCGAGACAGTAGGCTTCCATTCTGGCTGCGACCATCTAACGGTCCTGATGGTGACCTCAGACCAGCCAGCCAGTCTAGGTTGCTGCCACCGGGGCAGAAGTACCTATTAAGGGTTTTGACTGGGCACGTCAGTCAATATCGTTATTGACTGCTTTTAATAGATAAAACCAGTCAATAAGGGTTTTGACTGAGGCCCTTAGGCAATATCGTTATTGACTGGTTAAGGGTTTTGCCTGTAACAGATACACTATTATACCAATAGACGTCATATTATATAGAAGTCATAGTTATAGCTGAAGCTGGCCATAGAACTGTTCAGCCGCAAGAAAACTGCTGATCATTTCTACACCAACGACGTGAATGTCACCATCGACATCATCGTGCGACAACTAGCGGACTTGTCGCCTGGGGATACGGTCAGTTGATACACTATAATATTATTGTGACGTCATATTAAAGCTGTTATAGTATTAGTATGGTTTATGGGGTGTTATATCTAGATAGACCTGTTCAGTTGCAAGAAAACTGCTGATCATTTCTACACCAACGACGTGAATGTCACCATCGACATCATCGTGCGACAGCTAGCGGACTTGTCGCCTGGGGATACGGTAATTATCCGTTTGGTATCATATCATCTCGAGACATATTGGTTCCGTAGACGATTGCGTTAAACAAATAGATTCCATCCCACAGCTGTCATTTTATAACTTTCTACCTGAAGCAATCAGAAAGTTTTGACGACAGTTTGTACGTAATATCCTGACAGCCGATGTGGCGCAGTGGTTAGTATGATTGCCTGCCACGCAGAAGGTTCTGGGTGCAATTCCCGGTGGGGTCACTCACAAAGTTGATATTTATCGCTTTGTGAATTTGTTCCCAGTCTGGTTAGGACACTGCATGCTTGAACCACATGATTGTCCGAAAAGTAAGATGGTTCCGTGCTTCGGATGGGCACGTTAAGCTGTCGGTCCCGGTTGCTGTCTATGATGGCGGTCGTTACACCACCATATCTGACGCCTGCTACTTGCAGTAGGCGGTTGAAAAAACTCTGACACCAGGGTTCATAGGGTCGTTGAACGACTCGGTGTCCCACACGAAGAGAGAGAGACGTAATATCCTCATTATTTTCAGCAATTGCATTGCTTTTTCTCGTTTCCAGCGCCGCCAACAATACCTGAAGATCCTACAAGGCATAATCCGCAACACAGACTACGGGGCGCATCTGCACCGGCGCGACGACCTGCTGCGTTGTTTCGCACGAATATTCTGCGAAGAGGGCGACTGCAGCCGCGACGACCAGGCCTTAGTCAGAGCTATTTCAAATGAATTCCCGCACTACTTCAAGGCCTAAGGTAAACTTGTGCATTTATGGGTAAAATTACTGGAGTATGGATCGTTTTCGGATCAAATTACTGGTATGTGGAAATGACAAAAGTCTAGATCTATTGGCGGCCAACGTCAGATCGTATATGCTACGCCCAGAATAGTATACGACTTGTAGTATTCACGATAACCTCACACCGGTCTATTGTTGTCTATAGATCAGAAGGTTGATTGTTAACCCTAATTAATATTACTTGAAATGCAAGCTACTGGAAAGATCTCATGTATTTCTTAAGCATCAATTCGGCCAGTGTCAAGTAACACGATTAAATGGGTATACGATCTGACTTTGACCGCACGGTTAGACTAAAAATGAATACACGGTACACCGAAATCTCAGATATTAAGCAATTGAAATCTATTTATTCCATTATCTCTATAGAATAGTTTATAAAACTTGAGTGTCGTAATGATTAGCAAGAGAATGTGTTATGAAATTGTAGCTTAGCGCCATCTCGTGGGCAGCTAGTGGTGTTTTGCAGCTACGGATGAGGGCGTCCGCATCATATCGTGCAGTGGTTCAGCCAGGTGGCAATTCGATTTTATTCGATATAAGAAAGAGATGTCAGCATGGCGCAATGGACCTAATGCCATAGCATTAGCACGGATTTAGTGGCTGTCGAAATGGACTTTTAAAATCGCCCTACTTTAACCAGCCTAATTTCAGCGCGTAGAGTTCAAGCATTGCTGGTCGCGAGATCTTTACTCTATAACCAACCGGCTGAACCTTCAAACACCCTAAATAGTTGATCACGCATGGCTTGCGGACGCCCATAATGGTTGTTTGGTGTTGAGCTTTCCGGTTGCTCAGAACCCTTAAAATT